CAGCGCCACCCGGCTTCCGGATTCACGCAGACTCCAAGGCAGCGCCCCCCCCGCCCCCCATGATGATTTGGGGGTTGGGGACGGGGCTGGGATCTGACACGTGATTCCCGGGCCCACCCCCAGCTGTTGCTGGAGTGGTGATAGAGGGGAGGGGGGGATGTTTGCTGAGGGCGTGGTTGCCCTAGAGCTGCGCTGGACGGAAGTGCTAATGTCACTCGGAGTCTAGACGTAGAGACTCAGGTGAACCTGGGCACCACCTTGGAGGGGAGGGCACAGAAACTGTCAGGCACGGAGCTTGAAATGACCCTCGGAGTTCCCACTCTCTGAGCCCAAAGGGTTTTCAAATTGCGGATGGAAACCCGACCTTATGAAACTTTCCCCGTTGTAGGTAAAGCCCAGAGTCGATGGCACATCACTCCCCTTGGGGTCTAGAGAGGCGTCAGACCCTGGGCGTAGGTCTGCAGAGACCCTCGTGCCTGGAAATCTAACTCTGAACCACGTAGGGAAAGGAGAGGCAGGGAGGAGGATCTCAGCCCAGCCCAGACACAGTCAGAGATGCATGAGACAGAGATACAGGCAGAGAGACAGCGAGAGACCAGAGACCAAAAGGCAGAGAAATAGACAGAAATGTGGACTGGGAGATGAGGAGAGACATGGAGAGAGACCACACAGGGGGGGAAACAGAGGTACAGAGCTATTTAGAGGTTAGACAGAGGTTGGGAGACTTGGAGATGAAGCTAAGATACCCAGAGACAGACAGACAGGAGCTTAGAGACTGTGGGCGCAGGGAGATAGAGACAAAGGCATAGGCTGAGAGAGAGGGACCCAGAGAGAGGGAGGCAGGGGACAGGGAACCCTCACCTGTCCTGCTGCTGTCTCTGCTGCTGTCTGCCGCCTCCACCGCCTCCTGGGCTCTGAAGAGGTGACAGCTTGTAGTGGTGGGAGGGGGCGGGGCTAGGGCTGGCCAGGGAACAGGAAGGGGGACCTCTAGGGGAGCAGGGCGCCAGTCGCCTGTGAGTATCACCGGCACTCAGGGTCACATGGGAGAGCAGTCATGGAGCCATCATCCTGAGGACCCCCCCACAGTCTCTCACGCTCTCCCACCCAGCCATTGCCCACAGACTCTCAGGCAGTCATGCAGACTCATGCACTGTCGCACACAGTCCCATTAACTGAGACACAGAGAGGCTCGGCACAGAATGTCACACACTGTTCCTCACAGAACATGTTCCTCACGCTCAGTAACAGTCGCACTATCTACAGTCACACCTAGAGAGCCAACGTCTCTCACCCATAGGTTGACGGTCATCCACAGGCACCCATAGCCACATATCCTCGGGTGTGGACCCCTGCACTCACACAGTGACACAATCACCACTTTCCACAGTTCCAGTGACACTGTGTCAGTCACATACATTCACACAATCACTAGGTCACGTCACAGACACCATCTGTCTTTACCACTGACCTGTGTGCCCCATGAAGACAGGGCCCAGGCATCTTTGGGTCCCCATTGTCACTCAGTACAGGTTTGGGCACAGAGTAGAGAGGCTCAAAGAATGATCATTGATTAAATAAAGGACAGTTATGTGGTTCCTCACATAGTCATACAATCCTTTAATGACACAATCAGAAGGCCACTCACGATGTTACACAGCCATACCCATTAATGCTCTCACACATCATTTCCCACACTTCACATGATCACCTGCAGGGGCCACAGTCACATCCCAGCACCACACAGTACCCAGCTGTCCTGAGGCACACCCTCTCGCAGGCTCCCAGCATCACATTGTCACACTCTCACCTTCACACGGTCACATCCAGCAGTGTGACTGTCGTACAGATACACAATTCTCTCCATCACAGCCCCGCCCGTGCTCACAAGTCACATGGGATCACACACCATCACTTCACAATCACATGAACCTGCGGCCTCACTCGGTCTCATGGTCACAATCACCACTGACCCCCACATCTCACAATCTCCACTTCCAGTGTCTGCCTTTAATATGAGGAACATCTAAAAGATGAGGAATGCCCTGACTGGTGTGGCTCAGTTGGTTGAGCATAGTCCCATGCACCAGAAGGTGGCATGTTCGATTCCCCATTGGGGCACATGCCTGGGTTGCAGGCTCCATCCCCAGTAGGGGGGGTGCAGGAAGCGGCTGATCACTGTTTCTCTCAGTGGATGTTTCTCTATATCTCTCCCTCACCCTGCTCCTCTTTCTAGAGTCAATTAAAATATATTAAAGAATAAAATATGAGGAACCCTAAAATATGAGGAACATCTGTACGTGTAAGGGGAAGGCTTAGAAATGGCCTCCCAGCTCTCGGCGCCCTCACCCGCCTTTAACACTAACTACCAATGCACGCACATTAATCATACTATTAACATTCATGAGTGCACACTCCTCTGGGATCTGTGAGATAAGTGGGTCAGAGGGGAGTCTGCCCATTTTGCAGAGGAGAAACTGAGGCCCAGAGGCCCCAGCAGGGTTAGGGAATAAGGGGTGGAGTGAGGTCCAGCACCAGGGCCTGGAAGGAGAAGGCATGTCTGGGAGAGGGGAGTGACATGGCAGGGGGGAGGGGGGTCTTGACTTCCTGGCCTCCAGCTGGCCTCCATGCTCTCTGCCCCACTTTCCTGGCGCCCTCTGGGTCCTGGGAAAGGCTCAGTTCATGGGGTGGAGAGGGAAAGGGGTCTGAGATTGCCCAGCACCTCAGGGAGAGGCTGGGGTTGGGAGGGAATCTCTCCTTCGTCCCCAGAGGGCCTGGGGGGAGGGTCCCTCTGCTAGGACTGGGAAGGTAGGGGGAGGCTAGGATGGGGGAGGGGAGAAACTAGCAGGGAGGGGGAGCAGTGGAGAGGAATTGAGGTGGTGAGAGAAACAGGAAAAGAAACCAAGGTTCAAGAAAGAACAGAGACAGGAAGGGACAGAGATGAGAGAGACCAAGAGAAAGAGACAGACCAAAAGAGACAGGCAGAAAGAAATCCAAACAGAGAGAAATACACAGCGAGAAAGAGAAAGGAACCAGGGACTGAGAGAGACCAGGGACTGAGAGAGAGACAGAGACAGAGAAGAGATATAAACTGAGAGATGGAGACATTGAGAGATGAAGATGAAGAGGGGGGGAGGGAGAGAGATCCTGAGATATGGGGCCCTGAGGAGAGATGACCGAGGCAGGAGCTGTGGGGATGAGCCTGATGCTGGGCTCAGAGCCCCGCAGCCCTTCACCAGCTCTGGGAGAACACAGGACTGAACAGGAGAGGGGGAAGGAGGGGAGATGCCCGGGTTCCTGACTGGACCCCAGCCCATGTCAGCCCTCCTGGGGTCCTCTGCAGTCTCCCAGGATCAGGGGGTGACAGCGAGGCCACAGGGGTAGCCACATGGGCCCTCCTCAATTCCCATGCTCAGGGCTTCTGGGAACGGCAGGCAGATAAACAGCGGTGCCCTGTGCCCGGCCCCTTGCTGTCCATCTCTCTCCATGCCATCCCCCCACCTTTAGTTCCAACCCTCCTTCTCCTTTTCTCCAGGCCCACACTCGGTTTGTCTGTCTTCCTCTCCTGCTTGCTGGGCTGTCTTTTTTCTTTTCTTCCCTCTGGCTTCATTCTGCTCCTCTGCGTATTTCTCTTGCTCTCTTGCGTTCTCGAGACCAGCCTCTTTTTGCCTGTCTTTAAACTTTCTCCTTTCTCTTCCCCTTTTCCCATCTTCTCGCCGGGTGCCTGTCTGTTTCTCTCCCTCCATTGCCCCTGGTCCTGGGTTTCCAGGCTGTTGTCCTCTCTCTCCACCTCCCAGCAATGACCAGGCTGTGCGCCCAGCTCAGGATGCAGTGGTGGGGGGGAAGCTCGAGGGCCTGTGCCTCCCCCAGGGGGCTGCCCAGCCAAGCAGAGCCTGTGGAGCAGGCAGGGGCCTGGAGTGCCAGCAGATGGTGCAGGAGAAATGAGGCAGAGAGGGATGGGGAGAGGGTGTGCCCCATGGGGACTGAGGCCAGAAATGGGAGGCCGAGCAGCCCCCTGAGATTCAGGACTGCTGAGAGGAGGCCTGAGAGACATAGACCCAGAAAGACACACACACACACAAAGACAGAGAGACAGAGATACGGAGTGAGAGAGAGCAATGGAGAGACAGAGACTGAGAGAGACATACAAACATGGGGATCCAAAGAAAGGCCGAGACAGAGACAGAGAGCTTGTGACACGTTTACATATGATCCAGAGACAGGGATATACACACACTCACACAGTCCAGAGAAAGACAGGAACCCAGAGGCAGGAAGACACAGAG